TGCCGTTGGGGAAATTATCTACAAAATCCACCCTCCCACTTAGAAATCCCTCCACTGGTACGACACCCTCCCCACCTCTTCCCAGACCCGCATATGTACTACCGACCATCTCCCTCAAATTCTCCCAGCTTCCTTCCAGCTTTCCTTCAGAAAACTTTCGTCAAGCGAGAGAAGGGTGTGCACCGCACTGGAAACCGGAACAAAAGAAAAAATTCAACTTGCAAAAACATTTTTTCAAAGGCTAATGCAACCCTCCTCCATTTCCAGAAACAAAATATAACTCCCCGTCCCTACGCAAGACGTGCCCTCATGCCTTGGTCGTACTAAGCTTAATATAGCAATTGTCGTTCAATTTTTATGAGCCATTTGAACTTGAACAATAGAAAAAAATTTGTAGCAAAGTCCAAGTCGTTAATTAGCGGAAACGTGATAAAGGACATTTGAACTTGAACAATAGAAAAAAAATTTGTAGCAAAGTCCAAGTCGTTAATTAGCGGAAACGTGATAAAGGACGGCGTTGAGTCACTGAGGTGGGCGCTGTGTATAGGCACGTGACGTTGGGTGGATTGGATTTCAAGGTGAAACTTCCTAGGGAAATGCCGTAAATAATGTGGAACCAATATAAAACCGGTTGAAAAATAGTGCACTGCTCTTAGGGGGGAGGGGCGTGAAGTGGAAAGGACGGACAGCACTGATGTCAGAAGGGTGCAGCAGATGTATATAAAAATATCTAGCTGTTCCCAGCTGACATATTCCGGAAAAAACTCACGAGCGATCTAAGGTTTATGTCACCAAGACACTCCCTAGCGACATTTTTAGCAGGGGACGTCGTACGCTAGTGGGTGCCCAGCGAGGGAGTTCGCATTTGCCGAACGGGAGGGGTCGTATTTGCCACTTTGAGAGAAAAGTTTCCGATGAAACTGTGATAGTTTCTGTTTCATATACGCCAGATCGCGCTAAATTCCTCCCACCCCCTCACCCCTCCTCCCTTGCCGGACGACAGTTTTCGAAGGAAAACTGGAGATTTTTCTGGTAGGAGATTTTTCTGGTAAAGTGATAGGAAGGTGGGGAGGTTTGGAAAGCTGGTGAGCGGAATTCCGGTTGAGAAAAGTCGCAGCAGAATAGGAATGTTCAGGGGGATCGAATTATGCAAAATTTATCCTCAACGGCAGGACGTGCCCTGATCTGTAGTAACACCATCCCTGTGAATGCTCCCTTAGTCCTGCCAGGATCACGGCTTGAGCTGCAGAAGCGGGACCGAATTGGAAAGAAGATGCAGATAGCTCAACGAAAGATTGGATTTAACCCGTCAAAATTGTGATATGAGAAATGATCAGAGGAATGCTCCATGTTCAATATACGAGGCCACTTGGACCATTGCGCTTTTCTCGGTGGTGCCCACCTTGCAAGATGGTGAATTAAGGGGTACACCAGCCAAAAGAGCACAAGGTCCCCGCTCCCCGATGCGAACGTGGAGGAGCGGTAGATGGATCGCGATTGTAAGATGGCAAAGAAGGGGGAGGGCACCGATGAGAAAAACCGCTCATAGTTCGAGCATGGAAAGTGCTTCCCAACGTGGAAAGTGCTTTCAAATCACCAATCCAGTAAATAATCGTATGCCAGATGTGGACCTGGGTTGTTAATCGGTTGAGTAGAGCAAGGGGTTCCGTTTCTTCAACAATCCCAACGTCTGACACCACCGACGCACCTGAGCAATTTTTTCTAAGAAGAGCGGGTGAATTACTTATGCGCGCGGGTCACCGGTTCATACACTGGTGTGCAAAACTTAGGGGCGAGATGGATAAAGTAACATAAAACACTAATGACTGGGTGGAAGTAAATGAAAGCATGTTGCCACTCGCCTAAGGGATATGCACAGGAAGCTAGACTTTTCTCGGTGGAAGAAGAGCTTGAATAAAGTGCCAAATATGGCCGACCGCGCAAATCGAGGCAGTCTATGGGTATGAAAAAATTTTTTTCTCAATCAACGAGTAGCTGCAAAGAACTGTGGTAGTATCCTTCGATACATCATGTCCCGAAGAGAGCATCTGGATGACTTCACTCGAGGAAGCGCATAGGTCGTATACAGTCCTGGATGGTATCGCTCACAGCGTTGTTTCACGTGCAGAGAGCGTTCCGAACCTTTCGTAGCTGCCGCCGAGGAGGTGGCCAAGGACAACTACACCAAGGGACGACCGCTACATTGTGCAGCAGGCAAGAAGAGATCCTCGTCAGTCGGCTTCGGCTATTGCAACGACGTTTAACAGGACTCTAGGGCAAGCCATCTCACGCACTACAGTGGCAAGACGACTGCATGGTGGTGGTCTCTTCGCCCGACCGTTACGTTGTGTTCCTTTGACCCCCGCGCATCGGCGAGACCGTTTACGGTGGTGCCAGGAGCATGGCGAATGGACCGATGAGGAATGGAGCCGTGTGCTCTTTTCGGATGAGAGCAGGTTCAGTCTGAGCAGTGATTCTGGACGCACCCTCATATGGCGAGAGGTGGGAACACGCAACTCCCCGGAAACATTGTCGAACGTGATCGTACTGGTGGTCGAGGTGTTATGGTATGGGGAGGCATCATGTTGCATGGCCGTACTGACCTCCAGATTTTTGAGCATGGAACCCTCACCAGTCAGCGTTACTGCGACGAGGTTCTCCTACATCATGTCCGTCTTTTCAGAGCTGCAATCGGCCCTGACTTCATTTTCATGGATGACAATGCGCGACCGCATCGAACAGCACAGGTGGAGGAGCTTCTAGAACGAGAGGATATCCGGCGAATGGAGTGGCCCGCCCGTTCCCCCGACCTAAATCCCATCGAGCACGTGTGGGATGCACTGGGTAGACGCATTGCAGCACGACCAAATGCACCAATGACGATCCAGCAATTGTCAAATGCACTGATTGAGGAGTGAAATGCCCTTCCCCAGGAACTCATTACCAACCTCGTGGAGAGTACGGGCAGAAATGGTAGAAATTGTAGGGATTGGCGCTGTTCGGCTTTGAGGGGAGGAGGAGGGGAGCACGTGCACTTTTGCTAGACCAGTTTCTTTTGCTAGTTTCTGTCAAGTTAGGTAAGTTATACGTCACACCTTGGTAAGACATGTAGGCATCTACAGCAGTAATCGATGTGAACCAGCAAAATGCCCTCTAGAGCCGGAGTGCGATGAAATATTTGAAATCTCTATTCTTTCCCAAGTTTCTTCACCCTTGAAAACTCAAATACATTCGGAATCCGGAATCAAATAGATCTCCCTCTCTAG